TGTTTTTTCAGCATGCACATCGATGCCTACTGCAACACGGAGGCCACCACGTCCCTGATCAGGCAGCACATCCCTGAGGCCACTCTGCTCCAGCAGAACCACGAGCAGCTCGTCTACACCCTCCCTCTCAAGGACATGGATAAATTCGCAGGTGCTGGCTGGTATTGTATTTTTGTTTATTTTATTTCATTTTTTTATTATTATTTGTCTGGCAGTTTATATTTTTGTTTTTATTTGGCTGGGAGTTTGTATTTTTGTTTTTATTATTGTTATTATTTGGGAGTTTCTATTTTTGTTTTTATTATTATTTGGGAGTTTCTATTTTTGGTTTTTTATTGTTTGGCTGGGAGTTTATATTTTTGTTTTCATTTTTGTTTGGCTGGAAGGGGTTTTTTGGGTGAGTGAGGGGTTTTTTGCCTTGTCCAGGGGATGTTGGTGCCCCTGATCCTACAGAATCATCATCCTGTTGCAGAGGGTTTCAACAAAGAGGGCTGGCCTGCAGCAGGGAGCAGGAAAGTCCAAAATTTGGGCAAAATTCGTGCAAAATTTCTGCAAAATTTCTGAAAATTTTCTGAGAATTTCTGCAAAGATCCTGAAAAAATCCTGCCAAAATCCTGGAAAAAATTTCTGCAAAATTTCTGCAAAAATTCTGCAAATTTTTTCCAAAATTTTTCCAAAATTCCTGCAAATATCCTGCAAAAATGGCCAATTCTTGCCAAGCTCGTGGTGGGGAGCGGGAGCAGGGGCCGGGTTTCACTAGGTGGCAGCAATTACMTGAGCAGGATTTGGGGTTTATTGTCAAATACCCAACTGCTCTTCCCATTTTACACATTTTGGATTTCCCTGCAGCCTCCCCTTGGCTCTGGAAATCCTCATTTTAAATCCTTCCCATTTTTAGTCCTAATTTCATAGGATTGGTGAGAACCCAGTAACATTTTTCACCCCAAGGTGCTGATTCCCTTCTCCCACTCTGAATTTCACGTTATTTTTCAAGCCTTGTGCCCTCTCCAGGATCTCCTCCTGGTTAACCTGCCTTTAAACACCTGGAAATTTTTAAAATATATTTAAAAATGGATATTTTATTTAGATATGAAGTGTCTCAGTGGTTTTATTGGTAAGATCCTGTTGTGATAGGCAGAGATTTAGGTTGACGAGCTCTCCTGCAATCCTTGGGTGTGATTTTTCCAGGTGAGGAAATGGTGAATCTTTAGTATTCTGTGCCAATTTTTACAAACACCACACCTTCAGCAAAATCTGCCCAATTTCCTGACCACAGAGACTCAAATTTGTTGCTAAAAGGAATTTATCCCAACCTTGGTTCCCAAACCTGTGCCTGCATTTATTCACTCTTCCCACACTGCTGCCTTTTCCCAGCAGGTTTTTGGGTTTTTAGAAGGTTTTATTTTTCGGGTTTTTAGAAGGTTTTAGGGATGTGTCTGATGTGATTTGGAGTTGATTCTGAGCTGTCCCCTCTGTCCCTAGGTTTGTTTTCTGACCTGGACACCCATTCCCACCTGGGGGTCATCACTTACGGGGTGTCCATGACCACGCTGGAGGATGTTTACCTGAAGCTGGAGGTGGAGGCAGAGATTGACCAAGCAGGTGGGATTCCCTGATCCCTTCAGGTTTGCTTTGGTCCTCAAATTGTGAAATTGTCCCTCCAGGATGGGGTGACAAGGAAAATGTCCTTTTTGAGGTGCTTCTCCCAGCATCCCAGGCTGTTGGAATTTTCATCCTGGAGAAGGCACTGAGCTGGGTGGGGAGGGATTATTGTGGGAGCATCCAGGGGAAAAGCTTTTTGCTGATGAATTTTTCATCCAGAGAGCTCGCTTGGCTTCCCACTTTGCTTCCCTTTTAAAAATGCCCTTTATTTTCCTAATGGAGTTTGCTTTCAAGAAATTATAAATGTGCAGGATAAAACTAATGTTCAGCTTTTTGTGTGAATGGTGCCATCAGTAGCTGCACTTAGGGTGTGAACAGCTTGGCTCATCTCACTGTAAATTAACTTTTGGTCCAAATGAAAAAT